GGCAGCCGGATTCGAACTAGTGGCCACCGGGCTTCCAACTCGATGCTCTACCAACTAGTCAGCAGTCGGACCTCGCTGCTCAATTGGTAGAGCATCAAGCCAGAGAGCCGGTCATAGCTGGCTCAAATTTGACCGCAGTCCAAGTTTTCATTTAACTTTCAATCACCACTCAGTATCACTATCAGTCTGCCAAACCACGGTTGCTATCGGAGAGAGTCAAAATAATAATCAATATTATCATTTTAGTGCTTTTATGTGGTTTAAAGACTTGGTGAGTTACAACAAACTACAAACATTCATCAACAACTCCTTACGCTCAAATGTTACTGAAGCTCAGATGGCCAGAATAGTCAGAATAAGCAACAAGGAATTCACTCTGGCAACGAACCAACCAAGAACCTATAGCTCAACAAATATGCAGAAGGAAAGAGTGGAGATGGATTAGACATGCAGTGGGAAGACGATTTGGGGACATCACACGCCAGGCCAGTCCCTCGAGTGGAAGTAAGATGGGAAACGACAAGTTGGGCGTCCGAGGCAAGGGTGACATGAAGGAGATCGTGCGAGGGAGAAATGAGAGCTTGTGGGCTATCGTGGAGCCAGGTTCAGAAGATTGCAGAGAAGAGAGTGCTCTGGAGACGTGCTGCTGAAGTGGTATGTTCCATTAGGAGCCCAAGGGATAAATAATAATAATAATCATTTTGGCTACCTAAGTAAGATAACTATGGTTGGTAGAACTGTTGAAAATAATCAAATAATCAAAAGCTGAATTATCATTATGTCAAAATGCAGATTTGCTTAGATTATTGAGTGTTATTCAAGATATCATAGAAATTAAATAATGACAATGAAATCTGAATAATGAGTTGAGATATTTGAAAAAATATTTACCCAGTGAATGGATTGTTATCAGGGTGAGTACAGAAACAAGGAGTAGCTGTCTGCCGACAGCCTACCTAAACGATGTGCCCATAAAACATTTTCCCCCAAATATATTTTAGGAAATTCTCCCACTTCTGCTTATTTTAATCCCTTAAATAGATCTTTCAAATGTACTCTGGCACCATTTTAAAATATTTTCAAACTGTTGATCTCAAGTTAAGGATGAAAAGAAAAAAAACGTTAAACTGGATGAAAACGGATGCATGAATGCTCAAAAATACGACACATCACTATTTCTAGGATATATAGATCGAACTGCAGACTTTTGTACTAACTGAGTGATGTACTATTGTAGTGGGCGTTACTGGTTAGAAAACATGATGACAAAAATTATAGGGAATTACCAGCACTGTGTAAGGATTCTGCGCAGAGAAACGTAAGAGACAGCATGGGCGTATTAAGAGCAAATCAAGAGAGAAGCAGAAGAGGAAATGAAGCACATCGTGCGAATAACTGTCTTAGTGGAAGGTGTACCATATTTAATAACTACTGTACTACATGTTAATAATATACATTCCTTCCTTCATCTCTGTTTTCTCGTTTCCTTGACTACCACCAAAATTACACTCGATTTTGTATTCATCCCTGAGTTCAAACTAGACCCCAATGTAACATTAGCTGACCGTTTCACACTATTACCTTTAATACGGTCATTACTAACATTGTTCAGATGCATAAGTTATTTCTTTAAAAAATATTGTACAGGAGGCGTATTTGTTGAAATATTACCTGCTGAAAGTTTCATAATGTACCACATATGCTGTTTGGGATAAATCGATCACCATTATTATTATTAGTTGGTAATATCTAAGAAATAAACAGAAGGAATTAAAGGGGAAGAGGGGGAACATTTTCCAATGCCAAAGATTAAAACCATGAAAGGAGCAAGTAATGAACAAGTCTGTTTTGTATGCACTCCTTATGCTTTTCTATTTGAACTGCTAAAGCTTCAGCAATACAAAGAAGGTGGAAGCGCTTTGACTATGACAAGTTTTCACTTTGTAACCAACTTTTATAAAGGTGGTTGTTGAAATTGAATGATCAGTGTCGACAAGATGTTTCATCATTGCACTTGTTGTATATTCGCTCTTACCTCTTTGAAGCCAAACAGGTTAGTGTTCGTGAACTCTTTTGGATAGGCCGCACTACGAACTACCAATATACGCAGCTTGACAGTAGTAAATGAACTGATATACACATACACAGGTGATCAGACGCGAGGTCTTGTCTTTCAGGTTTTTGCAGAGTTAAGTAAGACTAGAGAATATCACTATATTTACTTTTTCATGTAACCATTTGTTTGTCTGTCAGAATGGTGAATTCTATTTCAAGGCTGAAGTTAAAATATCTCTTTTAAAAATGTTACAATTGTTTTTCAGAAGGTAAACATGAAAAATCTGTCCCACTTTTATTCACTGTACCATTCAGTTATCCTTTGGGATTTTGAACAGTAGGCGTAACTAAACATTTACCATCAAAGCTTCTAGACTGCATAGGTAATTCATTCATGCATATTTTAGCATGAAGTACTGCTGGAAAACCCATTCTGTTCGCTGATATTCAAGAAGTATCAAGGTCGGGATTTGACCTTGTAGGAGTAAAAAAGTTAGGTTTTGGATATGAAGTTTCCCACATATCTTATAAGACTATCCCATGAAAGCTTTATTTGACTAATTGATGTCTGTGAATTGGATGAATGATGCTCAAAAGAAAAACTGGGTCACATCAGGATTCTAACCACAAGTCTTTGAGTTGATGACCCAACCATCAGTTTACTGATTAGATAGCGAGATCCAGCTGGTAGCTTGGTTTTAGTTAGATGACTGGAATCCTGATGGTCATCTGGTTTCCATTTCAACTCCATCAGTAATTTCAGTCCTTCAAGATCAATCTTCTAAGTTGAAACTATTTCAGAGGTTATTTACTCTTTTTACTTACTTCGAGTAGATTTTGACTCGGATAAGGAAACCCGGCTGCGCAACTAGTGTAGTGACAGCAAGCCAATGTGTGTAACTTATTTACACAATAGCTAAGCCAGCTTATGGCGAATGAAGTGTAGTTAAAAATTACTGCTATATGTTCCACAGTCCCATGAGTAGACGGTCTACTTTGAAATAAACTAGTTAAATGCAAAGGTAAACTTCAGACGCCCCTAACAACCTCATGAACGTAAATTTTTCAGTAAGGTTATCACGCGTTATAGAGTGAATGCAACACGACATCATTTCTCTTGGTGGCTAGATAAGTTATATACCATTTATTTATAAAGCGAATTGAATACGTGACCAGATCTCTACTTATGTGAATCTGGAGGTTCAGCGAATGTAAGTGTTGGCCTGAATATACTATTGTGAGACTGAACTGATGATTTTCGCGTGAAAGAAAGTGAAGCTGAGTACACGTTATATGAATAGCGGATGACAGCTGAGGATAATTTCTGCGTTATATCCTTCATGAATAAGAATAGATCAAATGAAAAGATTCCATTGAAAGAATGAAGACCTCTTCTTCTATGTTTGATGAGAAACCTTAGAACAGCTAAGAGGGCCTTTAATAACCCTTATAATTAGTATTCATACCCATTTAAGGTTTCAGAGACAACTGATTATATCCGTGAAACTATAAGACTTAATGACTTAGTGTTCACAGTTCTTGTTTTGGCTCAACTCAACTGTCTTAGAACTCCGTAATTCAACAATGACCAATTTCGTTTAGAACTCTTAGTTGAGATATGATTCGACTGTTTTTAGCTTCTGTCTACTTTTTTCTGTACAAGCTGACAAATGTTTATGAATTCCTTAAGAGTATCAAAAACTAACTGACTATTATAACTAGTACTTACTTTTGTGAGACTCGGAGGTGAAATTTGTGATACCGAGATGTTCACAAATTAAATATCTGAGCGATATGCAACACTCTGTTATGAATCACATCAGATGCTTTATCGGGGCTGTTTGGAAGTCTGCTAGACGACCTGAACTGAAGAAGAAGTGTCCTACGAACTTCACTGTTGAAGATGATGAAAGCAGACTCAGTCAGTCACTTTTCATCAGGTTGTGTGAATACATTACACCTAGAAGCATTCACTAAGCACACTAACCGATGTAGAATAGTTAGTCAGTTAACGCCATCAACGGCCATGCTTTCATTGCATAACGATCCGTGTTGTCGCACTTCACTTAAGCGAACCAAGATAGAAGGCACGGAAGTGAAATAAGAAGAAGTTAGAAAGACAGTACTCAGAAGTAGTATACAGTCGTAGCAACAGAGTGAGAAGGAATAAACTGACGAGGAAATTCTGTATGATGCTCCCTATGCAGTACGTGGGCGCTTCTGCGTGGGCGAAAATGGTTCTCAGTTCTATATCTTACAGCCTCTAAAAAAAAGTTTGATCTGTTATGAAGACCCTAGCCAAGAGGTTCACATTTCCCTACGTGTTCTAACTCAAAAGCCATAGACTTCATGAACTGATACTATGTTTCAGTCTGACCTCCTCCTACCATTCCCCAGCTTTTACCTACTGCAGATACTACTGAACGACGAAATGTACGGTGACTAGGCATGCATAACGTATGTGCCAGACATGTGAATTGATGAATTTTCATAACCTCGTCGTTCGACTCGCCTCATTTGTAGCAAAATTCTCCCCAAACTGTTTTGTTATTGATGTGGTAGTTCCACAACTTTCAGACCATGATAACAAGTTGATGGTGGTTGAACATCTGAAGTCGCCTCAAGTGTTTCATCAGGTTTCTTCTGAGAGGGCAGTTTTCCGTAAGATAAAGAAACATAATTGGTTATCTTTGTATTTGTTAGGGTGGTCTCTATAGTCACCCATCAAACTGGTTATACCTTGAAAAGTTAGGCATTTTGACGCCTTTCTTTACTAAGAACGCTAACAGCTGATTTCGATTTTAATTTTCAAGCCCTGATTTTCACGCTCCCTCCCCCCCCTCCACACCCACACTCACTTATAATAATAGTGTTGATATCTTAGAGATTAATAGTACAATCACCACATGATAGTAATGTCAACATTTCGACAACAAAGTACTCACCATTTTCATCATAATGAAAGCTTGTAACGTTTGATGGACACGGTAGTTTGGCAACATGACCAGCTGATGTAGGTGGCCAGCACTGATGAATGGAATTCACCGTTGCTTGACAATAAGATATATTCATACCTAGGTGATGAATTCAGAAGTTGAAAAGAGGATATAATTAAGTACAGATATGTAAATAATTAATCACAAAATTAGTATTTCTTGCCAAAAATAAGCTTACCACTACTACGTCTTTGAGAGTAGTATTGGTGTGTACTAAGACAAAACGAAAGATCAGTCTCATATATCCTGGACGTACTGCGGACTGTAACCAATTTGCTTCTGTTTTTGGAAAAATTAATGACTCTGAGTTCTTATACGCCTGACAGCACTCCCAATTGAAAAACTCGAGAGGTGCGACAGCGGAATATTAATTGAAGTAAAGTTAGGTCAGATCTATGACCAGACACTAGTTAGAATTTGTCCTGCAACTAGGCGAATTCCTGCATTCTGAACAGTCTCAAACAGACAGTTGTCCCTGTTGAATTCTGGTAAATAGTATCTACGAATTTACGTGTATCTTCCAGAGCAAGCACATAGGGGAGGATAAAAGGAAGAGCCTACATAAAATGTTTCGAATATATTTCAAAAAGTCTACGAACAAAGGCGTCTAACAGTCTTATCAGACCGATCAGTAGACACCGTAGATACTGGATACCAATCTCTTAAGAATAATCAACTGGCAAAACAACATCAATCCTCTTTATTTCACTGAAACCGTTGCAATCAAAAGGCCAAAATCAGATTTATGCGTTTCACTACCCTAGCAGCTGATACTTAACATCTGCTCACATTCATTTTTGTTATATCTTATTATTTCCATCATTAGCGGTGAGTTTGGCAATACTTACGCTAAGCTTTGACTGCATTCTATTGAGTTCATTTCAGGATATTGGGTTCCTGAATTACTATTATTATTATTAAGCCATCTATTCAATGCGTTCGCTTCATTAATGTTTCTAAATCCTACAGATTCTAATGGCCATCACTTTCCAGTCAACACTTAACAACCTGAGTTATGTGTTCAGAAAAGGTGTTGCCACTACGACTAACTTGGCCTCATCTAAGATTTACAAACTGCTTAGCATTTTACCCCATGTAACTTAATTTTCAACTTCCATACTGTAGATTTGACTTCATATCTTTAAACGAAGACAATTTCATCCCATTCTGTTAGTCCATTTTGCTCCCTAACATGAGTAACATTCTATCAAGCTATTACTCCTCAAGTTATCGTTCTTTTTTTATTGGATCATACTTTCAAATACACCCTCCCATTACGTTGTTTCTTGTTACTTGGATAATACAAGTAAAATAATACAAATTATATCCACTGCACAGGAAGTGACTATCGTGACTCAGTGGCCTAGTGATAAGCTCTGAGGTTTGAAGTGACAGGTCTCGGGTTCGAGTCTCAGCAGGAAAAACATCTCTCACTGGGAGGCAGATACACCCAGCTGACGAGTCTTAAATAAGGCGAAACGTGCATTCTGGATTCCATTGCTAGCCACTACCGACTAATAACCACCTTTTAGTGTTTTATTAAAATCTCACTTTATAGTGAGTGCTACATCGGCTGTATAACTGCTTAGATAATCAATTATTTTGAATGGAATTCCAGTAATAATTGAATCTGATATTAACAATCACACAAGACAAGACATTGCTTGCTGAAGCGAGTTCCTCGGCCACATAATATTACTAACGAACGAAATCCGAGTGTTGTTGACACGAAATTACCAAATAAGCACATGTCACTACAGTACCTGAAGAAGAAGTTGTCAAAATTATCACGAACTGACAGAAAATAAAAACCATGAACCACTGAACTCCAACCCAGTAGCTGGGTGGTTAATGCTTTCGCCATGAAACCTTGAGGTCCTGAGTTCGATCCCTAGCCGAGTCGTGGGTGCATATTGCTGAGGAGTCCCATTCAAAGACGAAACAGCTGCCCAATGCCCCCAGGGTTTCTATTGTTCTGCAGCTTATATCAGTCAGTGATAAACACTACCTCGAAAAGAATATTCTTTGTTCATCCGAAAAACTTTTGAATCATAATGGGAGACTTTAAGGAGATAAAAATGTCTACGTCAAAAGTTTGATCATCATACAGTTTGACGGATGTTTAATAGCCGTTTGAGTGAACAAAGAATATTCCTTGGGATAACCTCTTCTTCTTCAGGTTCTACAGTTGTGCGTAAATATTGAGGACTTTTACACGTCAGCAATATAGAAACGAACTATATGGTGAATATGAATGAGTCGTTTTCCGTTCTGTACTGCCTTTCCATTAGCTGCGCTAAGGATGCTTCAAGCTGCAGAGGTAGTAGTAGTTAGGATCGAACAACCCGATTTGGGTGTTGAAAAGGAGTAAGTGTTACCACTACAGTTATCTTGGCCTAATTTGGGAAGTACAAATTCGTTATCATCCTGACCTAGATAATCTAATTCCATACTGTAGATACCCTTCCTTCCACATAATTTGAAATAATTTTACAAATTCTCTTGTCATTCTTAGTCTATTTCATCCAGTATTCTTAAACACCTTCCGATTGTTTTATTATACCATCACCTTCTAGAGAGTATTACATAGGCTGTATAATCTATTACATAATTGCTTATTTTGAGCCGAATTCCAATAATATTTGATCCCATCATAAACGTCGACCCAAGACTTTTCCCAGCTGATTTGCTCAACTGTATAATATTGTTACTAACAAACTGATAAGCGGAATTTCGATATTGCTGACGCGTAATTCCTGAATATGTACGTTTAACTGTAGGAAGTGAAGAAGAAGAGGCTATCGAGAAGAATATTCTTTGTTCACTCAAATGACTTTTGAATGGTAATGGGATTTTGTAATGGTTTGAAATAATGTTTAGTAACTGAATTTATGCATTCACCTTCTCAAAAATTATTCAACTGGGATATAGAGGAGGATTCTAGCAAACGAATTACGGAAATATTTACCTCTATAAACCCAATACTTATTAGTGACTTGTTTGAAGATTAGACTTCCCGAAGTTCTAATGATAAGTTGCGACCTGTAGGGTTAACCAGTTGTGATATGGAGACCAATACTCAACGATGGAATTTGGTGAAACTTGTGCTATGTCGTGGATCGACAGAAATGGGGAAAAGATTCCGACCTAATAGCTTAATTGTTACGTGTTCACCAAGAAGCTCGAGTGTCATGGGTTAGACCCCTATAGAGTGGGGTTATGGTTGGGCACTGGCGAAAAGTCCCTTACTAAGATGAAACACCAGTCCAGGGCCCCCAGATCCCAAATATTTCTACAATTGATGCAGATTTGTGATGAGTCCTACCTTGGCATAAGTGGAAGAATTAATTTCATCCGGTGAAATAAGGCTCAAGTGCCACCAAAAAAGGGTTCAGTACTGTTGGTGATTATGATCGAACTGAAATGTGCAAAGTGGAGTGGAATGAACTTCAGAGAACAAAAATAGATGTATTCAAAGTCCCCCCCCCCCTTAAGCTTTTCAATGTATAGTTTACGCTTTTACTCATGTGTAGAAAACGCTTCAGCTACCTATAAGTAGCACAAACACAAACCTTCGAAGTAATTAAATTGAGCTCTGTAAATTAACTGAAAGGATTAACCTTCAGCAAGGAAATGACCTGACATCAAGAGATTCCAGTATATTTGATAAAGTTGTTGTTCTTTGCTAGCTTTTAATTAACCAAATCAGGTAGGGATTCACTTACAACATGAAAACATATGAATTTATAGGATGTACACAGATTTAAACAAACCCAACTACCTAACATTGACGAATTTCCAAATAGACGTACAGGATGAGAATATCACCTGCTAGTCACAGAAGTGCAAAGTATTCTTGATGCATATTCATAAAGAACTGTTCAGTACCTCATCACTTTTGCATTTGATACTTGTTGAAGACAGAAGATGAAGTGGAAATCTGGTCTATGGTGGGATTTGGACCAGCGACGTCTTGGTTCGAATCCTACCGTAGTACAGATTTCCATTACACCTTCAGTTATCATCTAGTATGAGTAATATGGGTCTGTGGAACTACAGTTATCCCAAATTATCAAACTGTAGATAAGATGTTCATAAAACAGATAATTTGTGTATCGTTTACCTTCGAACAACTACCTTATAATAAAATATTTTATATATTTCGCACCTGCTTATTCTGTTAACTGACCGTAAATAATGATCAACATTTTCATGATTATTTTTCTTTCCATCCGGTTTATTTGTTTAACTTTACAACAACAACAAAAAAATATATGTAATTTTCCATCTCATAATGCTATTGGATAGTTGTGAAAAAGTCCACCTCGAATTGTATAAAAGCAACATAGTAAAAAAATAAACGGGAGAGGATATAATATCCATTCTAAGAAAATATTCACCTAGATATGTAACAAACATTTTATGAAATAAAATTCCAAATGAATATCCCTAAAATAAAATGTAACATTTCTTGATGAAAAGGTTTTGTTTTTTAGGTCAACTAAATATGGTCTGTCTATATCTATCTATCTTTCATCTGTATATTCAGAAAGTTAGTATTATTTTGGGTGTGAATAGATAGGTGAAAGTTGAATGAACAATCACTCTAGAAGAGTATTCATCAACTATATAAAATCAAAAATTTTTATAAGATTTTTGATTGACTGATTTTTCATTTTAAACTGTTGAAATGAATAATATCATACAATTAGTTACCACAATGAAAATTTTCCAAGTGAAATACTATAAGCACATTGTAAAGTGGAATTCAATTCATATTTCGTGTACTCCAAATCTTACTCATTGCACAAAGACAAAATACACTTCTACGAAACACTGGCAAGTGAAGCAGAACAGGCTGCCGGCTGCTAGGAGAGACAGAGACCTGACAACATTGTATCAAATAACCAGGTTGCTACCTGGGAGGAGATCAACAGAGCACAGATGAAACCAATAAAAGATGATGAAGGAAATCTAATTACGGAAGAAGAGAAACAAAGGAAACAATGGGCTGACCACTTCAAGAAGCTGTTGAATCTACCACCACCTGCACTTCGTCCAGAAATACCACCTACAGC